TCTTGTAACATCTAGTGTTTTAGGGAAATATAACTTAATTTAAAAAATTGATTTATCTTACTTGTTATTCTAAGATTAAAGTATGTTACAAAATTATAAGACCACCCAAAATATCATTCATTTTTATGGTACACTGCATAAAATGAATAATTTTAAAATAGTGAAACAATTAAAATAAGCAATACATTCTCAAATGAACCAATAAGTGGGGGAAAAATTGAGATAGTGTCACAGAGTAAAAGACCAGTTTTAAAATCTGGTTGTAGTATAGGACTACCATAAGTATAAGTATAGAACTACTTAAGTATAAGACTACCTATTTTTTTTTCAAAATCATTTTAGTTTTCAATTTTTTTTTCTTTGGAAATCGTATGTAAACAGTAACTTTCCATCGCAGAAAATTCAAACTATAATATTATAAAGAAAATGAGAATTTATCTTATTTGCTTTTATACGAAAATTCACAATGCCACTCGAAAAAGAATTAACTGAGCTCGAAAAATTTGGTTTTTTCGGAACATGAAATAACGAGTTAATTCAACATTCTAAAACTGCTGTTAGCAATGTTTTAAGTAAAAATTATTATGGAAAATATTAAAGATCTAGTAGGAAACGTAAGAAGCAGCTTCGGATAATAGATACATTTTCAAACTGGCAACGATACAGAACTTGTCTACCTGCAAAGTATCTCAACAGGCAAAATTAACGATCTCTCATACAACAGCTTGCTGCAATTTAAGATCAAATTCGAATGTTGTTCTTCGAAAATTATAAAGAAGACCAAGACTGTTAAAGCATCGTAAAGAAGAGATGCTGAAGTGAGCAAAGGAGATCATGGCCTGGGATGCTGATTAGAAAATTAGATTTCTTCCAAGAAAAAAGTTCAATTTTGATAGCTCGATGGTAATAATTATTACTGACATGGTTTTCTAGCAGAACCTCGCGATTTCTTCTGCAGCTTGGTGATGGTGAGGGGAGTTTTTGAGTGTGATGGTGATTGCGATCTGCGGCGAATTTCTGGATAAATTTACTCCAGTTGTTATCAAAAACTACTTTACCAACACCTTTATACCTTTTAGTCCACATCTAGGAGGATCAGACTGGAAATTTCAGCAAGCAATGCGCCATGCCACATTCCTAATCAACTGAAAGTTAGTTTCAGAAAGAAGTTTCTAAGCTAGCCAAGCTGTAGTCTTTATCTTAATCTTGCGGAAAACTTGTGGGGCTACTTAACTAGACAAAATGTGTGCAAAAAACAACCAATATGATTCTGTATACTATTTAGCAATCAATAAAGGGACCAAATTCCAAAAGATTCGCTTCAAAACTTGATTGAGTCGATGAAAAATCGAATCTTTGAAGATATCCTAATGGAACAACATCTTTATAGTTATGTAAACTAACTCTTTTTGACTGATGACCTTATAATCTTGTAACAATTATTTGAGGGGGGAAATTTTGATAAAGTTGACAAAATATTTATATTTAAATATATCTCTTAAAAATTATAGGCATATATTTTGTTTTAAATTCATTTTCATTAACTCAATTTAATTTTAGAAACTTTATATCACTTACAATAAAAGACACAAAAACCGCAGTGGTCTTATAATTGTGTTACGCACTGTATTGTGTAGGAGATAACGAACCGTTTTTTTTCTCTTTTTCTTCTTTTTCTCATAAATGACAGTATAAATATTTACAGCCTAACAAATACATGGTTATGTAAAATTAACCATTTTGTAAAAGGATTCAGCCATCTTGTGGATTTTGAACTTAAAAATTAACTTCAAATGATATAGATTTGTACATGAAAAGTAATGTTTGTGGAAATATGTAAAAATAAAATATTGTAACAAAATTACATGCTAGAAAAATTTCTTTTATTGTCTATGTAAAAAACAATACCCATTTCTTCAAAGGATGCGGTTGAGCAATGTAAGCATGTTTAATTTCTTTTCGCTACTAATCAATAATTTTATGTAGACAATTTACCTTAAAAAAAGTCATTAAAAAATTACAAACAATGGTTACTTAAAATGCTTACTATTTTGAATATTTGTCGGTAGCAGAATAGTTAGATAATTCATGAAGGTAAGAAATTTGAATTTATCTTATAAGTTTCACTAAAATATAAAAGTGATTAGAAGCAGCTATGTGTGATGTCGTTTTTCTAAAGCGTGAAATTTATTTTGTTGGCGAAAAAAACTAAAAAAATTATTTAAAAAATTATTTCTTATTACAAGGAAAACAAGAAAAAAGGACGTTTTTAATCAGAAAAAAAATTACTATCAAATAAATAAAAATAAAAAAATTTAAAAAATTTAAAAGGGCCTGACAAAAAAATAAAATTTTATTAATATAATTAAAGCAAAATATATCATTACGATAGTGCGAGAAACACCAAAAATATTGAAACGAAAATAATGTAAATTAAACAAAAAATACAAAATAAAACATATCCAGCAAAATGGGAAATTAAAATATAAGAAAAATATGGAATAAAACTCAAAATGTAGCATTCAAAGCGAATAGAGAATTCAAATGTCCTTCCACTTACCGGCATTAGCACAAATATTTTCGCAACTAATTTGCCAGGCTTCAAAATATGAAAATAAAAGCGTAAATAGAGGCGTAATAAAAGCGTAAATATAAATGAAAATAAAAGTGTAAATATTTATTTTACGACACGTTTTTTACTGAGGTACAGAACCACATTTTATTTGTCAGTTTCCTTGGAATAGCACGAAACTAGATTTGCGCAAGTTAATTATGCTATACGAAATATTTCAAAGTTTATAATTAATAAAAAAATTAATTTAAACTGTAACATTTCAATTTTGAAGATTTTTGGAGAAACTAATACTTATAGAGAAAAAAAATGTATAGAAAACAAAAATTTTCGACGAAATTATATCTTATCCTTTACTGTGCTCATATATATATATATATA